CTCTCTCTCTCTCTCTCACTCTCTCTCTCTCTCCTTTCAAAAAATTTGGTGAAAGTATATGAAATGATAATAAGTTATACAGTATATTAATATTTTTATTAATATAGTTATATAATTCGGAAATACATTATACATTCTGTATTATACAATATTGTTAAATTTTCTTGTTATGAGAAAATATCGACACATTATTTGATGAATTAATATAATAGATTAGACATAATTAATTAAGAATTAATTGATCATTAAATAATAAATCGACAACACGTTTGTACCATAAAAATAAAATTTAGTGAACAAAAGGTTCACATAAGTGAGTGAATGTATACAAAGTAAATACAATTGAATAGTGTTTCCAAAAACGACAAATAAATATATGACTGAATAGTGTATAAAACTGGAAGAATAGAGAAGCTCTTGATTTAATAAACCATTTGTTTAATGACTAGAAATACAATTCAATGTTTCTCTCAATTATTTATTCAGGCTTTTAATTAGGAGAGAGTCTGTGCTCTGATTTACGAATCGTTTGATTATTCATTAGATTAATAACGGAATGGTTGAGTGAATGACAATTAATCTCATGTCTCACACATTCAACACTAAGTTATGGTGTTTTGTCTGACAATTCACTCGTGTTGTACTAATACTGACAATTGGACTCATATGACATGATTACCGAAAAAGTTTAACTTAAATAAACATTTTGATCACAATTTGCTCCATAAATGTCTCATTTTGTTGTTTGGCTTCAAAACTGGACAATAGTTTTCTCTGTGTTTCTCGAATGACTGATTCGGTTGATATGTTTCGTGGGTTTTGTTGACCACAAGAAGTGATTCCAGAAATTCCAGACAACATCTTTGAAATCAGCCTAATATGTAAACATATGAACAAATTATCTTAAGTTATCTCATATGTAATGTTCCCAATTAAATACATTATTTCATTGTATAATCCTACAAATTCTCGTAAATGGCTAATGAGTTAACTAAATGTCATCATTTATTTCATAATAATCTCTCATTTCATATTAGATGCAAATAAAATTTAATTTTTATTAGCATAAAGACCGGAATTATTTTTCTGTTTGTTTGTTGTTGACTAGACTTTCGCAACCAAAATATGTTTTTACTATTTTGTCAAAAAAACAATTTTTATATTCGATACGAAACATAATATTATGTTATTCTTAATGCAGACATTAAATATAACTAATAACACATTATGTAAGGTATAGTCAATACATATATGAATACATACTCTGAAACTTTTACTCATAAAAGAATAGATGATTGGATTGACGAAAGAGTTAGCCATTGCCAGCCTATTGAGTCAAATGTAATATAAGGATATTAGGGTCAAAGTTATTCTTGCAGTATTTATGATGTCTTGATAAATTATGGTTAAATTTAAATAATGTATTTGTTACTATTAATATTAAATGCATTTAGTTCGCGATAACCTTGAGTTAATTTTAAGCTATTCATAAAATGTGAATTTTAATAATTTAATTTAAAGATTCAATTTACTCTAATAGAAATATTATTAAGTTTATTTTTTCTAAAGATTATTCAATTCTCAATTAAACAAATTGTTTAATACATATATAATCAAATGTTAATGTTATTAATTTATATATTTTATTGCTAATTAATTTTTAAAATAAATGATATTAAATACTAATATAATGTTTATCGGAAAATATTAAGACAATTAAAACAATACAAACCAATGGCAGAAGAAAAAGCTGCTTATATATCGATAATAACTAAACTGATCAGTAATTTCCATCATATTTGGCCAAAAAACCAATAATAGCATAAATGTCTTGATTGGAAACCAACAAATACTGAACACAATCACCACTGCAATCAACATCCGGATGATCTGTAAAATAATTAAATTTGTTGTTAAATCAAATTATCAATTATTGAATACTGAATAGTTAACATAAGTCAAATGATATGTGGGTTTTTAATTTATGATTCATTTAGAAAATTTCCAAGTACAAGTTCTCAATGACTTAGTTTCTCATAAATAATTTTCATATTTAATTTGATTATAATATTTTGAATTTAATATTTTAATATTCAAGTGATTTGTAATGCTTTTCATTTTAATAGAATTATGGCATTTATGTTAACACTATTGTACTATGGTGTAAAATTTATGGCTTTAATAATGTTGATAAAATAGTTGAACATAAAATTGACAAAACAGATCAATAACTACAAAAGCACTCAAAACATGTTCTCAATGTAAACACACAAATCATTGTGAAAACTTAAGAAATATGATATTCAAAATCTAACAAAACTAAAATAACAGGAATATTAAAATTTTTATTTTTAGTTAAACATTCCTAAATATTAAAATTTTTGGTATAAAATTATATTTGATATAGAAAAGTTACAAAATAATTCCATGTAAAATATACTTGATTTAACAAAAATAAAAGTATTTTCTTGTGAATGATTTCATTACAAAGAATCTTAAAAAGCAATTATAAAATGGATGTGACTTTTATAAGATTTTAATAAAATTTAATGTTAAAAAGTTTGAAAACTACAAACTGTAAAAATATGTTGTTTTGTAAATGAATTCTACAGGTTTGTTTAAACTATATTTTATATACAGTATAATATACATTACTGTATAGTATATTATACTATATAGTATAGTAAATGTTTTTAAACATCCAGAAAGTTCAATCAATTTATGATTGAAATGTGAGCAACAAATGGCTTATAAAGCTTCTAACATAAAGCATTTATAAATAATATGATAGTAACAACAATTGAAAACTTCTTTTGATTATATTAATAAGAAGTTAAATAAAGGACTTATGAAACCATTTTCTATAATTATGTACAATATTTCATGAGTTTATGACTCAATTTTGAGTTCAGTGTTCGGCTGATATACACATAAATATCTTTAACAATAATTTTCTTTTTGATAATAAAGGAAAAATACCCAAAAGAAAGCAAATTAAATAAAACTAAATTTATTTATTCAATAAAATGGTTTTGTGTTGGAAATACGATAGAAAGATATTTGTTGAATGAAAATAATTAAAGCATTAGAAAAGTCATCATTGAATTGGAGTGAAATAGTGAACCCATTTGTCTAATCCGAGCCATTAGTTTAGGCGCTTTATTAAATGACACGAATTAAGTTAACCTTATTTTTCTATGAATTCTATCAATGAGATAATTGTCTCTGAATTAACTACCAGTGCTGCAGATAAAGCACAATGAATTGAGAAATACAAATCCTTTTATTTAATAATTTTCGCAGTTATTTATAGCGAAAGTATAGCTTTAAAATGCATTTCGTGTTCACAATATATAATACAAACCTTTTCTTTTTCTTTTCAATATCTCGATTGTACTGATATTTAAGTATTGAAAACGGAAATAAATAATTAAGATATATCTCTATATTCAACAATTTTCACTATATTTAGAAAAAACTTGTGTTCATACACAATATAATATATACTGATATATACTGATATATACTAATATATATTGAATATATACTGTATATACAAATAAAATAATACAGTATTTCTCAAAGTAAGACAAATGAACTGAAAAACTAAACCGAAGGGAAATGGATATGAAAAAAGTGGTATACCTTCGCTCTGTCCCTCTCGTGTCCGCTGTTCTTCCTGAGCGCCAACTTAATTTCTCTGTGTTTCTCGAATGACTGATTCGGTTGATATGTTTCGTGGGTTTTGTTGACCACAAGAAGTGATTCCAGAAATTCCAGACAACATCTTTGAAATCAGCCTAATATGTAAACATATGAACACATTATCTTAAGTTATCTCATATGTAATGTTCCCAATTAAATACATTATTTCATTGTATAATCCTACAAATTCTCATAAATGGCTAATGAGTTAACTAAATGTCAACATTTATTTCATAATAATCTCTCATTTCATATTAGATGCAAATAAAATTTAATTTTTATTAGCATAAAGACCGGAATTATTTTTCTGTTTGTTGTTGACTAGACTTTCACAACCAAAATATGTTTTTACTATTTTGTCAAAAAAACAATTTTTATATTCGATGCGATACATAATATTATGTTATTCTTAATGCAGACATTAAATATAACTAATAACATATTTTGTAAGGTATAGTCAATATGAATACAGGTATATATATAGGTATATATATAGGTATATGAATACATACTCTGAAACTTTTACTCATAAACGAATAGATGATTGGATTGACGAAAGAGTTAGCCATTGCCAGCCTATTGAGTCAAATGTAATATAAGGATATTAGGGTCAAAGTTATTCTTGCAGTATTTCAGATGTCTTGATAAATTATGGTTAAATTTAAATAAAGTATTTGTTACTATTAATATTAAATGCATTTAGTTCGCGATAACCTTGAGTTAATTTTAAGCTATTCATAAAATGTAGAATTTTAATAATTTAATTTAAAGATTCAATCTACTCTAATAGAAATATTATTATTAAGTTTATTTTTTCTAAAGATTATTAAATTCTCAATTAAACAAATTCTTAAATATAATAAAATGTTAATGTTATTAATTTATATATTTTATTGCTAATTAATTTAAACAAATAAATGATATTAAATACTAATATAATGTTTATCGGAAAATATTAAGACAATTAAGACAATACAAACCAATGGCAGAAGAAAAAGCTGCTTATATATCGATAATAACTAAAGACTAGTCATTAAAGGTAGTATAAACCGGTTTTTTGGTTATTATCGTATTTACAGAACTAACCTTTGGTTGTAATACTGAACACAATCACCACTGCAATCAACATCCGGATGATCTGTAAAATAATTCAATTTGTAGTTAAATCAAATTATAATTTATTGAATACTGAATAGTTAACATAAGTCAAATGAGTGTTATGTGGGTTTTTAATTTATGATTCATTTAGAAAATTTGCAAGTACAAGTTTTCAATGACTTAGTTTCTCATATAATTTTCATATTTAATTTGATTATAATATTTTTAATTTAATATTTTAAATATTCAAGTGATTTGTAATGCTTTTCATTTTAATAGAATTATGGCATTTATGTGAACACTATGGTACTATGGTGTAAAATTTATGGCTTTAATAATGTTGATAAAATAGTTGAACATAAAATTGACAAAAGAGATCAATAACTACAAAAGCACTCAAAACATGTTCTCAATGTAAACACACAAATCATTGTGAAAACTTAAGAAATATGATATTCAAAATCTAACAAAACTAAAATAACAGGAATATTAAAATTTTTATTTTTAGTTAAACATTCCTAAATATTAATTTTTTTGGTATAAAATACAGTATATTTGATATAGAAAGGTTAATAAATAATTCCATATAAAATATACTTGATTTAACAAAAATAAAAGTATTTTCTTGTGAATGATTTCATTACAAAGAATCTTAAAAAGCAATTATAAAATGAATGTGACTTTTATAAGATTTTAATAAAATTTAATGTTAAAAAGTTTGAAAACTACAAACTGTACATTTAATATTTTGTTTTGTAAATGAATTCTACAGGTTTGTTTAAACTATATTTTATATACAGTATAATATACATTACTATATAGTATAGTAAATGTTTTTAAACATCCAGAAAGTTCAATCAATTTATGATTGAAATGTGAGCAACAAATGGCTTATAAAGCTTCTAATACAAACCATTTATAAATAATATGATAGTAACAACAATTGAAAACTTCTTTTGATTATATTAATAAGAAGTTAAATAAAGGACTTATGAAACGATTTTCTATAATTATGTACAATATTTCATGAGTTTATGACTCAATTTTGAGTTCAGTGTTCGGTTGATATACACATAAATATCTTTAACAATAATTTTCTTTTTGATAATAAAGGAAAAATACCCAAAAGAAAGCAAATTAAATAAAAATAAATTTATTTATTCAATAAAATGGTTTTGTGTTGGAAATACGATAGAGAGATATTTGTTGAATGAAAATAATTAAAGCATTAGAAAAGTCATCATTGAATTGGAGTGAAATAGTGAACCCATTTGTCTAATCCGAGCCATTAGTTTAGGCGCTTTATTAAATGACACGAATTAAGTTAACCTTATTTTTGTATCAATTCTATCAATGAGATAATTGTCTCCTAAATTAACTACCAGTGCTGCAGATAAAGCACAATGAATTGAGAAATACAAATCCTTTTATTTAATAATTTTCGTTATTTATAGCGAAAGTATAGCTTTGAAATGCATTTCGTGTTCACAATATATAATACAAACGTTTTCTTTTTCTTTTCAATATCTCGATTGTACTGATATTTAAGTATTGAAAACGGAAACAAATAATTAAGATATATCTCTATATTCAACAATTTTCACTATATTTAGAAAAAACTTCATACACTATATTATGTCATAAAGAGTTTCATTCTGTTTACTTGACTTTTTGATTTGGCTTCCCTTTACCTATACTTTTTTCACCATATGGAAGCGAGACAGGGAGAGCACAGGCGACAAGAAGGACTCGCGGTTGAATTTATTAATCACTTTGTCTTTCAATAGCTTTCTTCCAATCGAGAAGTAAGAGAAGGTTTGTATGAGTAGTGGAAAGGCAAACGTCAGCATAAAGACCGACGTGTTGTAGATCTGAGACATCAAGCCATCCATCTCTGCTCCTCTGCAGTCATAATAAGTGGTGTTATTCCAGATGAACGGCACAGTCGTCGTGTGGATCTAACCATTAAAACAGTCAATTACTTCAGTTTATTAAACTTAGGAATTATGGCTATTATGTAATCATTAATCATGGATTATTTGCTATGAATTTTAAATATGTAAGACTTCTGTCTTGTTATAAGTCATTCATTAACTTCTAATTACATAATTTTAATTTCCTAAATGTATGACTAATAAAATTATGAGTAAATTACGGTTATTATTACTGAAGATGTGTTTCTTTAATGAAAAAGTGTACTATAAATAATGTGCTTGTTATAAAAAACCATTTAAAGTTATAAATTAAATGTTAGTTAGTGAAACAGACTGTAAATCTCGCCAAAAGTTTCCCTCTATTATAGAGTTAATAAAAAATCTAATAAAAAAGTTTCAATAAAAACTTTAAAGAATAAAATTGATTTTTTCTGAAAAATTAGATTTATATTATAAACCGCACACTGTTTTACGTCCTTTTGTGATATAAATAGTTTAAAATCAAATCACGTTATAAGTTAATACTCAGTTTTGATATCAAATTTAACTTTCTATTCAATTATCACTTAGACTTTATTTTTATTAAATTTAAAATTAAACCAAAACTTTTAGAGACTAGTGTTAAATTTAAAGTTTAGCAAATAATAAAAACAATTAGTTAACGTTTAAATAACTGTATTTGCTTTTTGTTATTTACATTTAATGCCAAAATCACAAAATGTTTGGTAACAAAACTCATTAGTAGTTGAAATGTTTCCGAAGGATGTAATCATTTATTGCACCGATTCTTGAAATTAGAGTTTAGATCAGATGAGAGCTCTTAGTCTAAGAATTAGTGGCTTTTATCTCAGAAATATAAGAATATAATAGACATGAAGTGAATCTGGGATTTGGTTGAAGTAAACACAGAAAACACATATTGAATGAACGCTNAAATATAAGAATATAATAGACATGAAGTGAATCTGGGATTTGGTTGAAGTAAACACAGAAAACACATATTGAATGAACGCTCCAATTGTTTGTCGCATAAACTTATAGTAAATCAAATGAAGTCTGTGTTGAGGTTTGTTTTAATCTATTTGCCATTTGTTTCTTACAACGATAGCAACACCTCGAATACAGACAAACATTTTGGTTAATATTTATAACTATCATATGTATGGCTACTATATTTTAGTGACAGAATTTTTCTTATAATCTTACTCTATGTCGGAATCACTTCCTAATTGAAATACTCGACGCTTTTAGCATTATATCAAAATAACTATTAAATCAATGGTTTATTAGCTTTTACTTAAGCTTCTCCGATCGGTAAATGGAGTTAATGTGAGAACAAAATCAAAATCAGTGATGTATTACCATAGCTACATGTCCTAATATGCCTCCCAATATCCATCCAAACATCAGTACTATATGACAGCGACCCGTAAACCACTGAACCATTGGTTTGTTTGAAAGCGGACACAGAATCGCAAAGTATCTGTTAAAATAAAAAAAATAATATTTTGGTTTAAGTTAATACATTAGAATTATATAATGTTGAGCCAATATTGGTTTAAAGCAATTAATTGCAATAAATCTCATAATCCTTTTCGGATTAATTCTAATGGTAACCAATGGAAAGAAAATCATTATATAATAGTATAACTGGTTTAATGGCTACATATTTGTTTTTAATCTTATTAGTTATTAATATGTATGCAATTCTCATGTTTAATATTTTCTTAACAAACAACTATTAAATTGTAAGCAATATTAGTCTTATATAATATCTTTGTACATATTATTAAGTAGTCTTTATCTCTTATATTTTGTGTCTAAATATTTATTAATTTTGCAGAAAAACAAGACGTAAACGAAGTAAAGAATATAAATTAGTAATAGTCAGCAACATATTGTAGAATGAGATTACAATTAGCTCTCTATTATAAGTTATATAAAAGACTAAATATTTAAATGACGGAAAAATTTAATGAGAGTCAGAGCAACAGATGGATTACAACAACAAAATTGTTTGAGACGTAACTAATGTGTTACTAAATTGTAGGCGTTTTTAGCCAAGTGCCATTCTAGTGGCAAATTTATGATATTTTATTTGTGCCAAAGTTTCTCATTAATTAAGGCTTCGAAATCAGATTCTTTGGGCTATTAAACAAAACTTGTAAACATTATTTATTTGTTATAAATGTATGAATTCTTGAAATATTTATATCGTGTTTTGATGGAATATTTTATTTTATATTAAATCCCAATATATGGTTATAAAATCAACATTAATTGTTAACATTCTTGAGTATAGTTTTCATGTACTGTATAGTATATTATAATAGTCTCTATTTTTAAATGTATTATATTTTTTCTTAAACGCCGCACAATATTATGCAAAGAATTTTTAAAATTTTTTAATTATCATAAACTCAATGCCAGAACTTTTATTAATTACATGATATTTGAAACTATGAAAACAAAAATAATTTTGTTTTGAAATCATTTAATAAAATCTTTAATAAAACTATAAGTTTTTTTTATAATTCTACACTCTGTAAATTTATTTTTCAAAATATTAAAAACTTTTCCATGTATAAAAACTTCAACATCTGATTAAGAATAAAAAATAAATTATAAAATTTATTAATTTCTGGTATTATATTTCATAAATGTTGGTTTTATTCTTATTTTTTAATAAGTAAATAGAAATTTATGGATTTAGAAATCTTACACCTTAAAAGCTTTTTAAATAAAGCAATCGATTCATTTTAATAATAATAAGTTTACAATAAAATGATAACATTAGTCTCAATTGAATATATTTTCAGTTATCACAAGAAATATGCCATTTAAGCCATTGTTTTATACTGTAATATATGATAAATGAGAAAAGACATTCTTATGAAATCATATAGTATATCAAATTATAACTAAATTATTAACAGATTCCATATTTCTATAAATAAATTTTCATAAGAAAGTTAATTTAAGGGAAAAAATATTCATTTTAATTTATAATTTATTTGATCGATAGACTGATAAATTTAGAAATTTTATATATTAATGTTAGATTTATTATTTAAAAATATAATAGTTTCTAAATAAAAATTTTGAAATATAATGTTTACATGAAAATAACCAACAATCACTTAATAACATTAGTATTTATATAATATATAATATAATTATATTAAAATTCTAATTATAATAATTTTCTAGTTTTTATATTTATAAAGGTTGTAAATAGGAAATTGTATAAATATAATAAAATTATATAAAATTATATAAAATTACATTTGAAATTAAGAAAAAGTCGTTAACATTATGAACATTCACTTGAGAATACATATAGTAATTAGAAATAGAGAACTAAATGAAATTGAATGTCAACTCAATCTACTGTATTAAAGGTCTCAT